TGTCATGATTTTGCCATGTCACACAGTATAACAGCCTCTGCAAGACCATCATGTAAAGGCAGACACAAGCAGGGACAGTAGCACTAAAGCTGATCATACAATATCAAAGAGTGGACAGACATAACAATGCTGGGACTTCAGAGAGCCACTGCCAACAAATTATCCCTGAGTAGGTTGTCTGTTTCTTCTACCCTTAGGACTCCCTAATGACCAAAGCAGTCACAGGACTAAATTTGATCAACATATTTATTCCATACCTCTACTCCTAGCTCTTGTTGAGCATCATAACTAATCTCTTGGCAATTCAGATCATGCAGTAGTATCTATTGATATTTCTTTTGTCTATGAGAAAGGAAACTCCTATGAACAAAACTTCTTTCTGCTACCAGCATACCAATTGGAATCATTTCATGATTTTCTTCAAGAAACCTCTTGGATTGATATTTTTAATGTTCCTATTGAGAATAGTACCACAGAAGTTTCTTCTTAGGTTAAAGCCAGCAACAATGCTTTTGTTCCTTCTCAGAAATACTGGGTGAAACTACAGTCTTCTTTTTGGTTCACACCAGCCTATTCAGTCGCTATAACCCACAGGAATCACTTTTTCTGGATGTTCTAGTGTAATAGTTCTGATCACAACAGATGCCTATTTGTGTTTGCTCATAATGGTTGTAAATGTGTGCATTGAGGTTAAATCTTTGTTTGCTGATAGAATGAGGTACCATATGGCCTTTAACAGGTTTTGCTCTCATTACTCTATAATAGTGTTTTAAATAAAAATAAATTTTCTATCTTTCTTCTCTTTACCCAAACATCTACTGATAAAGCAGAATGTCGGGCTCAAATTCTCTTCAGATTCTACCCTTGACTCATCTAGTGTATTTTTGCCTGACTTTCTACTTGGAACTGATTCTTTGTTGTGTGGTATACATATGAAATCCTTTGCGAAAGTTTTAAATGAAAATAAAAATTAACAAGTTCTTGCATGGTTTCTGCTATCATCTATAAACTGGATCCCCTCAAAGTATATGTACTTGGTGATATACCTGCAATAGTCCTTAAGAAATGTGCTCCTGAACTGGCTCCTGTTCTCTCTAAAACTGTACAATAAGTGCCTCACTGCTTCTTGCTTTCCTAATTGTTGAAAATCCTCTTCTGCAGTTCCAGTCTTTAAGAATTCAGGCAAACCATCTGATCCTTCTATTGATCTATTAGCTTTCTACCTCTTTTTGGCAAAGTACTAGAGGCTCTCATCAACTCTGAATTGGTTAAGCACTTCATCTCACAGGCTCTTTAAAGCAATATGGCTTTCACTTCTTTAGATCAACTGCTGGCGTATTAACAATTATTGTTAAAAGAGTATAGAGCTTTAGATAAGAATGGGCAGTTGCTTTAGATATCTTGAAGGTATTTGACAAGGTTTGGCATACTGGTGGTCTTCACAAGTTGAAAGGTTATGGTATTTCTAGATAAATTTTTGAACTGATTCAGTCTTAACAAATTGCAAAATAAACATTGACTGGCCATGCTTCTAGATCATTTTGCATTAATGCAAGCGTCCCCCAAGACTTACGTTTTTCCTAATTTTCATCAACAACATTCCTGATGGCATCAATTCTCAATTCAGTATCTATGCTAATGACACAATAATTTATTCCGGTATTAATAGTAAGTCTGGTCAGTTTGACATGGTGAAATTGGCAGTTGATCTAAAAAATTACCTACAATCTGTTAACTGAGTCAAGGAATGGCTTGTTAATTTAAGATGTAATTCACTGGATTTTCTAAAAGTAATGCTTACCTTTTACTTAAAACAATGAAAATAATGTTTTATTTATACACAGTATCACCTTAAGGTATGAAATTTTTTGCAAATGTTTTTAATGAAAATAAAATCAAGTTCTTATAAAAGGTGGAAATCCTTAATGTTCTCTTTATTTGTTTCTTTGACTTTAACTTTAAAACTTAAAAGTTTTCATTAATTTTAACTTGAATCTTGTACTTGAAATTTAAGTGAACCTTCCTTATAATTCAATTCCTGGGGAGAGATTTTAGTAATTTCTCCTTGGCTTGTTCAGTAACCTTAAGATGGTGTCTGAATAAAATTGTCCAACCACCTGTGCTGTGAACAAGTTAACATGAGTAGATAGATTCAACAATTACCTGGCCTGTACTCCTTCCATGTTTCCATGTATGAAAGTATCCTTTGTTTCCTGTTTAGGATGTAGTTCAACGGTTCCTTTCTTCTAAGACCTTAATTATTTAACTTTTTGGTGATCTAACTGATCAGTGGCTGCAACTTTTCATTTTGAGGGTACCAGGTTGGCTGTTTTCTTGTTACTGTATCCCAACTAGTGGTAAGGAGTTCAACAACTTTGGTAGGACTTAAAGAAGTTGTTCTGGTCAACAGTGCCATGTTATGCATGGATAGGTGTCCCTGCATGTACTTCCAGTGGGCAACTCTGAGGTCCCATTGCTTTAGTCTTAGCCAAATTTCAGACAGTTTGTATTGTCATAGACAACAGTGTTAAATATTTGTGTCTTTTTCTCCTTAAAAATTAAAATAATCTTATGTGAGTTACAATTAAAAGCTATAAGAGTAAATCAGAAAACAAAAAAATCACCTACTCTTCTCAGCCTTTCTTTCTCCAATATTTGTAGTATTTATACCAATTTCTGTAATGTAGAATCTTATCTCTTGAAATGTTCTCCAGATATCTTAGAATAGTTTTAGTTTCACAAAATACTATCTCTACCAGTGAATTCACAGTTTCAGGCTATATTCTGCTTTGTTGAGAAGATTCTAGCAAAAATATGGCCTTGGTGTTTATATTTTAAAAAATCTTCCAATAGCAAAAGAATTGTTTCTTGAGTCTTCTTTCATGTACTTTCAACTTTCTTTATTGCACTGCTAGCTATTGCTTTTTCCTTTATCATTTATCATTCCAATTCGTCTCAGGAATGTAAAATATTAGAAAAAATATCTGACAATAATGAAATCTCTCTCTCTCTGCGAACATCTTTGTTGTTTGTTGATTTTAATGTTCATCATGTCAAGTGACTTCTTTTGTTACTGATGTTGCCAGTAATCAGATTTTCAATTTTTCTGTTGCTTAGTCTCTCAGTTAAATAGTAGATTTCCTTATTCCTTTCCCTAATAATTCTGATCAATATGCTTCTTTACTTAATTTATTCCTTACTGCTACGAGGATGCATTCCTATAAAAATTAAAAAAAAAAAAAAAAAAAAGTTACGGTTAAAATTTATAGTAAGGGATTCTACTGAGTCCTACTTGTTAGTACAAAAAAGTTTTCATTCATGAAGTAGTCATAAAATAGAGAAATTAGAAATAGAATGTTTGGAAGATTCTAGATCATTCCAGTATATTTGAGAAAAATCTAGAAAAATGCTAATTAGGTGCTAGCCCCTATAAAAATAGAGTTGTCAGTTGTAAAAAGGAATTTCTGCCATTATCAACTCCGGCTTTTTGATTCGAGGATTAGTATATCCAGCCAAAAGAATCTCTAAGAAAAGGTGCCGACCAACAAAAACCCAAAAAGAGAACTTCATGGAACAGATCTGGTAAATAGAATTTTGACTATTTTCATTGACCAAACTACAAATTAATCTATATATACTCACATTTGTGGATTTCTGGTAATAGCACTTAGATTACTTCACTAGCCCTAACATGGTAAAGATACTTGACTCACCTTTCTTCTCCTTCGTAACACTTTGCCAGTAAACTCTGTTTTCTGTTTTGTATGTCACAATTGTATACCTTGTATATATTTTATCTTGTGTTTTTGTAAATTAAATTGTGATTTGTTAGTGATTTAGCTCTGTGTTTTGGTAAATCAGTTTTTTTTTTTTTCTTTGTTAAAATTTCCAACACATAACACTTACCTCCTCTCTTAGTTCTGATGCTGAGCATCACAACTCTGTCTTTGCAATTTGGATCATACTGTAGTGTCTTTTGATATTTCTTTTGACTCATGCAGATTAGATATGAACCCTCCTATTCACAAAACTTATTTCTTAAAAAGTAAAAGCAAAGAAAGGAATCAGGCAAATATCTGTCAAATGTCCAAAAAAAGAAATAATGAGTAAATAAAAGAAAAAGATTTCCTGAAGTAAATTATTCAAGTGTTTCTCAAATTTTAAAATGTAAAATAATTGTCTTACACATAAAATTTGGTCAACTTATTTCGAAAAGTTTATTTTTAGATTGCAACTATATATTGGTATTGAGAGCTGCATTTTTACTACTTTAATACTTATTTTCTACTAATTCTTTTCATATATATTCTGACTAAAATGTTTAATATGTATATAATTTTAACCATCATAATAAAAAGGTTCTATATGCATTAAAATCATTTTAATATGGAAAGCATTTTGAATACGTTCTTGTTATGTTACTGTTATTATGATATTATGTTAATTTGTAAAAAGTTGCCCTGATAAAATGAACAATTTTATTAGTCAGAATTGGTATCTACAAAAGATTATTTCATGTATTTTTGATTTGGTAAGTGAAAACAAAGAATAAGCAGGTGTGTATCTTAAGAGTTATAACCTCATGTGCTTATTATTGAAAAGATCAGTGTTACTTACACACAGAGAGAAATTTCAAACCCATACAGAGTGAAAATCTTGACTAAACCTGTAATTTTTATGGCAGTTTCTTAATGCAGTCATTGTAGTCATAACATGTTTGGTTAGTTAAAGTTTATAGATTTTCCATTAGAAGCTCAAATCTCCAACTTTATCATTCTAGTAACCTTATGTTGTATCTGACATATTTTGATTACTGTAAATTTAATGTATTTATTAAATTTATAAAATTATTGCCAAATATTTGAAAATGAAATGAAGTTTGAAATAATTTATACACAATGTGCTGTTTTTTGGGGGTTTTTTAAACTACAATATGTGTTAGAATTTAGTATTGGTCATTACAAACTTAAAAATCATATTGAAATAAAATTTTCTTTCAGATTAATAATTCCAAAATATCAAGATTTGATCAAAAATATTTCTACAATTCCAAAAACTTCATGTTAAGTAAAAAGTTTAAAAATGCTTTGAATGAAGCTCTACAGGTGAGTTGTCATTTCTTGCTATAATCTTTCTTTTTTTTAATATAATTGTGGCATCCTATAGCACAATATGCTTCATTTATTTTAAGCAAGCTTCAGATTTGTTTTCATAAAAATTTAACCATCCTAAAGTATTTTTCCTATAATTATTCTTGATATATAAAAATTCATATATTTTTCCCCATTATGTAATATCCAGATGAAGTAATATTAAAAGCTTTTAAAGAATTAAATTTTTTTATATCTCCTAAAACCTTGATTTTATATCCTCATATTTTCAGTTCTTAAGTAAATCTGATTAAAATAGATCCCAAGCACTAGTAATCAACTGATGGTTTGAAATATGTTTTATGTGATATAAGATTTTACTGCAGTAATTATGACATCATGTGATAAGTTAGTAAATTTTTATTTATTTATTTTAGCTGTGTGCAGTACGTGCAGGCGTGCATATAAAAGAAAATAATGCACAGTATCTTCATTCATGGGCAGAAAAACAATTTCAAGAACTGGAAAATTTTGACCATGACCCTTTTGCACCTGCTGGTGGTGAGTGATTCTGAGGAAAATACAGGTTCAAGGCCTGTAACAAAACTATTTTGTGAAATTTTGGATATTTCAATATATGAACAACATAATAATACTTAAATGTATTTTGCATCTATTTCAAAAATGATACAATGATTTTATTTCTGGAATATTTTTCTTTATAAATCCATATACAGATAGGAATTATATATCTATATAATAAATGTTAATGTCACTGTGTCACACTTTTTCAACTTTACTCCTAGAATCAGAATGACTGAACAAATTAAAAACATTCTGGGCCAGATTTGGACCTTTCTTTTCTTTTTTTTTACGTGATTTTTGTGACAATTAAATTGCAAAATCCAGTGAAAGTCACCCATGGAATAAAAATAATTGTTTGTACAGAAAGTAAGGACCTACGTGCATCAAATTGTCTTTAAATTAAGTGGCAGCAGAAGAACTGTCATTGAACTTTTAAAAGGTAATCTTAATGCAATACTTATATGCAACGATCAATTTTGTAGTTTATTGTTGCCTATTGCATCTACTCTTACCTACCTATTGTGATGAAGGCCTAATCAAGAGCTAGCTTAAATGCTGCCCAATAGGGCAGCTTTTAAGCTAGTGTGTGTGTGTGTTTGTGTATATATATATATATATATATATATATATATATATATATTATCTATATTTCTCACGTTGTTCGTCTGTCGTGCGTTGTTACCTCGCCCAGGCCACATTTCTCACCCGATTTCGATGCGGTTTTCAACACAATTTGCAAATGGCTGCCGTAAGGACATGACGGAGCCTTTTTTTGAGGTTCGGAATCAGGTTCCGAAAAAATCGATAATCGAAAAAATTCTGCTTACAGAAGGAATGATCGCATTTCAACCAAATTTGACACCCTCTTAGAGTCTACCATTAGAAGTGTTGTCCAGAATTTTCATGACCACAGACCCCCTAAACAGCACAGAAAATTGATAAAACCCAAAATCCGATACACCCAGATTGCGTCTGAACCGCATGTCGGTTTTTAGCAAAAACCGAGCGGATTTATGAAGAGGCCATTAGGAGTCATCATGTGAAGTTTCAGCTCTGAGCACCCCACCCCCCAAATAGAGTGCAAATCGACATATCGGTCAACCCTTAAATATGTTTTTTCCGGTGTTTTAAATCTGATCGTATTGTGTTTTTGTTTAGTTCTTTTTCTCGTAACAGATTTAATGTTTACTATAGAGCTTAGAAAAAGTTGGCAATGTGATATAGGCAAGAAGTAAGGCATGTAACAACATCAGCACAGCAAAGGGCACTCTTCTAAAGGCAAGGAAGGGCTAAAATATTTTAAGTCAAGTGATAGCGATTGCTGTATTAGTCGTACTATTTTTGAATCAAGCACAGGCAACGCTGCTAGTATATATATATATATATATATATATATATATATATATAGAAAAACAGACCACTTTAAGGTTATAATTTATTTCACCAGAGCCCTTTTAAATGACGCTGGATCATCAGATAGCACTTCCAAAAGATGAAATGAAATGAAAATTCATACTTTTGATGGGTAGTGTAAGTTTTTGTAATTTAACAGAGGGGGGTAATGAGGAGTGGTTTGAGAGACATGGTCAAGTTTAGAGAGGGTTTATTTAATATTTCTTTCAATCATGCTTAGTATTGGGGGAGGAGGGACCAGACCATGACCTATTTAATCGGTTAACTTAACGGAAGTGATATATTGAAAAGGGAGGGGGGAAGTAAAAAGAAAGAGGTTGTAAATAGGTTTCACGTAGGAAGGAGAGGGGTGGTATAGTTTTAGCAATTTATGTAAAAAAAATAGATTTTAATGTTTGATAGTAATTTAAATGTCTAAAAAAATCTACTAAGAAATTAATTTGATTCTTGCTAGCAGTTTAAGTATTTAACTTTTACAAATAATTTAGGGATTTAATATAAGTTAAATACTGTATTTATTAACACATTCATAGAGAACATTAAAAAAATTTTTTTTTAAATATAACAGTTAACCGATAGTAATCTTTTAATATTGAAAAGACTGTTAAGGTAACATCTTTATCAGTTTGAATCTAATTCATGAATGTAATTTGTAACTATTTTTAGATGGGTAATCTTTCTTAAAGTTTAGGTTTCAAATTAAGATGGAATAATATTTGAACGTAATATTAAAGGTTTTGTTTTTTTCTCATATATGTACCACATACACTTGTGCAAATCCAACATATACATATGTTCATTTACATGTGCAATTACACACATAGGCACTCACACATGTATCGATATACACAGGTACCTATACATATTCATACATAAATACTTACACATACATTTACAAATAATTACACATTTATATTTATATCTATATAAATTTTTCTATAATTTCACAGTTAATGTTTAACGTTAGGTGATTAAGTGTTTAAATATCAAAACAAATATTTCTAATTTTAATATTTTACCATCAATACTGATAGTTAAAGAGTGATATATTTAAATTTAATTTAAATTATCAATGTAAAATGAAATTACCTTCAGATGATAAAAAATTTTAATCTCACGATTCTAATTAAAGAATATTAAAGGAGAAAGTAAGATTAAGAGTTAATAAAAGTACGATTAAAACTTCAATAAAATAACTTTGTCCTTCCATTAGAATACTTTATATATATATATATATATAAACAACAGATCTATACCATAAACACCAACACACACATATATATATATATTATATATATATATATATATATATATATATATATATATATATATATATATATTATATATATATATATATATATATATATATATATATATATATATATATATATATATATATATATATATATATATATATATATATATATATATATATTATATATATTATATATATATATATATATATATATAATTTATATATAATATATATGCAATCAATTTATATAAATTCATGAATTATATACAAAGAACAAATACAAATATGTTTTTTGTATGAATAATTCATAAATTTGTAAATTGATTGCTATGTTTTATTGAAATTAAAAATAACTGATCCAAATGCAAAATTTCGGATAATAAGTAAATATTACTTTGTAATTATTAAACAATAAAGTTCATGCCACTTTGACAGATAATTTACCAGTAAAAAGAATTCGCTTATCACCACATTTGTATAAGAATGCACAATTGTAAAATTTAAATTCAAACTTAAAATTTAAATTCAAACTCGCTCAAAAAGCTAATAACTCATTTCTAATAACTCATTTCGGATTACAACAGTACATATATTTTCATTGTCTTATTACTGAGAGAAAAAACAAGAACAAAATCTATTCCATACCTGAGGATGTCTGTATGAACAGATGAAAGCTTGTAAAAATAATAAGAACTCATGCAGCAGGAATTTATAGAAACAAGGATCTTTTCGTTCATAAACAGATTCGGGGTTTTTGTATATTATTTGAATTGTTCGGGACGATGGATTTCTTGCCAATTAAATCATTAACCTTTGTATTTGTTTTTTGTATGAATAATTCATGAATATATATATATATATATATATATAGTAAGTTATATATATATATATATATTGTTACGAACTTGTAGCATATAGATCAGTGGATCTCAACCTTTTTTTACCCATGGACCCCTTTCCCTTTTTTATCTTGGTGGACCCTTCATAGCTATTGGACATAAGAACAATTTTCTATTCTTCACTAATATAAATTTTAAGGTTTTAATTATCAAAGAAATAGTATACGATTAAGCTTTATTTTTAAATGAAAACTAATTTAATACAAATAAAATATTCTACTATAATTGTATTAATAGTTATTATTACTATTTTTAATTAACACAACAATTGAGTTTTTCCTGTGGACCCCCGGAAATATTACATGGACCCCTAGGGTCCATGTAGACCCCGGTTGAGAACCACTGATATAGATGAACCACGGATTTAAAAAAAAAAAAAAAAAAGGTCCGAAATTCTGCAGAGTCTAGAGATCCCATCTCTGCAGAATCTTCGGACCTTGTCGGTCTATTTATACTGTACAATCTAACCGCCCACCATGAACTAGACATTGGGGACATCGGGCTATACAGAGATGACGGGCTCATGGTAGTGAGGAGCTCAACAAATTATAAACTGAGAAAATTAGAAAGATAATTTATGAAGAATTCGGGAAACTAAATTTAAAAACAATAGTCAACACTAAATTAAAAAGAGTAAACTTCCTAGACGTAACAAACAACATTCACCTACCTTACAGAAAACCTAATACTAATCCCTGTATGTACAATAAAGTCAAACCACCTCCATCTATAATTAAGCATATACCCACATCAATAGAGAAAAGAATAAGTATGAACTCAGCAAATAAGGAAATATTCCGACAACACAGTAGTTTTTATAACACAGCCCTGAAAAATAGTGGATACAGAAACGCTGACATAACCTATAGAAACGACAGTACCAATAATAAGAAAAACAGGAAAAGTAAGATCATCTGGTATACCCCTCCGTACAACCAACTGGTCAGTACTAAACTAGGCCATAAGTTCCTAGCTTTAATTGAAAAGCACTTCCCCACTAATAGCAAACTTAGCAACATCTTTAACAAAAACACCTTGAAATTGAGTTACAGCTGCACTGAAAATATAGAAAGAATCATAAAAAGACATAAGAAAATCCTAGAAAAACACACATACCAAAACAGTAATAAAACTCATAAACTACAATTAGATAAAAATAACGAAAAATTATGTGATTGTAGAAACCCTAAAAACTGCCCGTTGGAAAATAAATGCCTCACAAAATCTGTGGTATACCAATGCCCTATTTCATTCATTGAGAGTCCTAACACTGATAGGATATACATAGGCTAAACGAAGAATAATTTTAAAATTAGATGGAGGCAACACAAGAGTTCCTTCAACAATATTCAAAATAGAAATCAGACATCTCTATCCCAATATTTCTGGCATCTAAAAGAAACGAATAA